TTGGGGTAGAATAAAAGAACATTCACAAGGAAGCCTGCTTGTGGAAGCAGTGGAATACCCATCTAGACCAGCAGTTGTGAGAATTGGAAGGTCACTTGTGGCAGGTCATCAAATAGTACCCATAACAGTGGCTAATTTCTCTAAATGTGAGCAGACACTTAAGGAAGGGGCATTGTTGAGTGTGTGCCAGGAGGTAGAGCCAGTCTATGTTAAGGTAAGAAAACAACCATAAAGAAAGGACATTCTCTCCCAGAACATTTAACTGACCTCTATAAGAAGAGCATAGTACATTTGTCATCATCACAGGCTCTTCAGGTTAGGGAACTTTTGGAGAATTATGGAGACGTCTTTTCAAAAGGAGATCATGACCTCGGTTGCACAGACCTCGTGGAGCACAGAATAAACACAGGCAATCACCGTCCAATAAAGATCCCTCTGAAAAGAATAGCTCCAGCAAAGTGACAAGAGATAAAGAAGGTCATGGATGGCCTAATTAAGGGAGGGATAGTCGAGAAAGGATCAGATAGTCCCTCGTCGTTTCCCATCATGTTAGTCCAGAAGAAGGATGGGATGCAACATTGCTGTGTGGACTTCAGGGCTCTTAACAGTATAACCGAAAAGGACTCATACCCACTGCCAAGAATTGATGATACTCTTGATGCTCTAAGTGGAGCCAGGTGGTTTTCAACTCTGGACTTAAAGTCAGGTTTCCATCAAGTAAAAATGGCTGAAGCAGATAGACCTAAGACAGCATTTAGTTATGGCCAAGGTCTCTGGCAATACTGTGTGATGCCATTCGGGCTTAGCAATGCTCTAGCAACATTTGAGAGGCTGATGGAAAGAGTACTGGAAGGCCGACAATGAAAGATAGTCCTAGTGTACCTGGATGATGTCACAGTGTTTGCAACAACTTTTGATGAGGAAATGTCCTAGTTAGAGGAAGTATTCAAGCATTTGAAAGCAGCAAACCTCAAACTCCATCCCAAGAAATGCCACTCGTTCCAGAAAGAGGTGCTTTACTTGGGTCACATTGTAAGTGAGCATGGTGTGCGAAATGATCCTGAAAAGGTAAAAGCAGTGCGTGATTGGCCAACACCAGATGATGTGGGAGAGTTAAGAAGTTTCTTGGGACTCTGTACCTATTACCGGAAGTTTGTGAAGGACTTTGCAACTATAGCTGCTCCATTACATGATTTGACAAAAAAAAGGACAGAAGTTC